AAGTTACGAAGCCCCAATCCCCCCTCCGCCCGAGGTAAGCATAGAGTATCCCAAGCAACGGGAGCTTTTTTGGAGCCCCATAAGTATCTTCTACAAAGTTGCGTGATCTTATTATTATTATTATTATTAGTGATGTGGAACGTACCCGGTCTCTTGATACCAACTGATGTAGAGAAATGCGTACGAGTGGGAAGATAAAAGGGAGAGGTGGAAGGATTTGCGATTTGTGCATTGTGCAGAGAGAGATCGATGGGCAGCGACGCGAAGTAGAGCTCGAGAAATTTCTTCACAATTTTGGGCCTTTGCAAGGGCGGCCCATTTCCGTTTATTTGGACCAAGGGAGAGATGAATTTATTCCATCTTTTTGGGCCAGGGAAGTAGCTGCGGTAATTGGGCTTGAACAGTGTAATTTTGGCAGCACATTTGGTCAATGGGTGGACTTGTTTCGCGCTGACATTCCTAACTTCGACAAGGATCACGTTGACGGGGCAATGTATGACGGTCCGCCTATTTTTGATGAGGAGCCTCCGTTGCCGGAGATACATATTGACGGCACTTTGGGCTCCACGTGGGACATCCTCCCGATGGTCCCTTTAACAGAACACCCGTCGTTTGGACCGAATTTTCAACATATTTTTGCGACGGATGGTTTTTTGGAAACGCCTTCGGGGGTCAATAGATGTCGGGACATTGTTGGATTGTTTGTTCCGAAGTCTTCCCCCAGTGAACGTTCTGGCTGTAGTGATTATGATTTTCGTTCGGCTTCTAGGATTCTGCATCAGGAAGTAGGCCCCTTTGCTTTTCCGACCGTTATAGACGTGCCTGAATTTGTGTTCGCCGGTGCGATTGGACGACCTTCGAGCTTCGTGTTCGATCGGGGAAAATCTGGATTATTCCTGTCCTGGTGACTTCTCCAACGGGAACAGGTCGGATTCGAGGCCGAATCCTGTTCAACCGGGGGAGAATGATGAGGATAGATGAGGATAGTATTATTATATTATTATTATTATTATTATTATTATTATTATTATTATTATTATTATTTAATAATTAGTAGCTTGAAGAATAAGCTAAGGTTTAATTTAGGGGCTTTATTTAAAGGGTCTTATGCTTTGTTATTAGGGGAGAATTTGATGAATGAAAATAATTGATCGTGTTTTCTTTTGGGAGAGTATCCCGTGTTCTGGAGAGAGTATCTCCTTTTATCTTCACATTTGTACACGCTTTCGCTACATCAATTAGTCTCACCCTTCCCCGTGGGGATTCCCTAGGCATGATAGGCCCGTGCCGTTAGTCGGTGAGATGCAGTGGGTGGTAAAGTCATGGAGTGAATGTGAGAATACTTCTCAGTCGACAAAAAAAAAAAGTTAATAATCAATTTTACTAGGAGACTTCCACATAATTTTTTTTTATATATATATCGTGAAAATTTAGAAATAGATTAATTTTTTATTTTTTTTAGATTTAACTTTATAATAAGAATATTTTTTCCTTATTCAAAAAAATAAATAATATACATAACATAAATAAAATTGGTGCTTTTTTCTTTTTCCTTACTTTTTGGGCCTTAGGCAGTCGCCCACTCGGCTATCTCGGAATATCTCAGAGGGACTGAGTTATGAAAATATCAAAACCATAAATAAGAATATTTATTGTAATATAGGAGACGTAGGTTGTATTAATAATAATGAAATGGGGGTATATTATGTAGAGTGCGCTAAATTGTGTTAGAAAACGGAATTGTTGTAATTTGAAATTGTGTTGTAACATCTAGAATTGCAGAAGTGTTATAGCAAATTATTTTTATTTTTACCGAGAACCGAATCAAAAGATTCATTTCCCGGGTCGATCTCTCAAGGAAGACGGTTCGGAATTTAGCGTTGGTATTGATCACACACGAAAAGAAAATAAATCCTAAACATTCTAATCACGGTTGATTTGAAGTATTAACTAAAACAATCCAAAACTAGAAAAACAATTTAAAGAAATAACAATTAAATTTCTAGAGAAAAAGAAGAAGTTCTAGGGTCGGGAAATCTCATCAAGTCTTAAACTATGTTGAATGATTATTTGTTCGGTTATGAGATTTAACAAGCCTACACGTCTAGAGGGCTATGCTCAATAACTCTTCGTAACAAGAGCACATACATAAACGATAAACTCATTCAAACAAGCAACACATAGACAATACGTTTCCGAACATGTCTATTCTATACGAGCCTAAATCGACCAACGCCTCCCCTCTCGGTTCTACACGTTGATTAACTAGGTTAGAATGGTGATCAATCAACTAACCCTATAATTCACACAACTCGCATAGATTGAATAAAACACATTCCACATAATTCAAACAAGAATCAAAATCCTTAAACCTAGGTGAATGGATTACCTCATGCTTAGATTCAATCTCATGTTAACTGGAATTAAGAACATTAAACCAATCAAAAATAATAAAATAGAATTGGAAAACTTACAATCGGATTAAGATTTGAAAGATTTCAATCCAAATGTCTTTGTGTCCAACAATCAAAGCATGAGAAAATAAAAAGAAAAGCGGAGAAAATTATCCTAACAATATTGAGTTTTGGAGAGAAAAATTGAAAGGAACAATATTGGAGGTTGTTCTTTAGGTCTGGAGGTTCGTTTTGATATATAGTGCGCGAAAAACGGAGCTAAAACGAGTAAAAATGAGCAAAAATAAAAACAGGGGTCGACAGGGTCGCGAGTTGACTCGCGAGTCGCGAGTTGGACGGGTCGCTGGGCTACTGAGGCTCTGTTGAAGTCGCGAGTCGCGACTTTTCTCTCGCGAGTGGCGACTGAAACTCGCGAATCGCGACTTTGTTCTCGCGACTCGCGAGATTCTGGGCTGCACTGCGCCATTTTGCGTTTTCGCCTCGTTTGAGCTCGTCCGAACTCAGAATTGAGTTCTGTTTTTTCCTATGCGTCGCTAACGAACCCCTCTATTCAGTTATGCTCACGAAACCAACGTTTCCTGAAGAGAAAATTTGCCCGAATCTTTCGACCTACACTCCAAAAACGACAAAACACAAAAGAAAACCAGAAAAACAAACAAAAAACACCTAATGACTCAACATGAAGGAAAACACATAATAAAATACGAAACGGACTAAAAACTAAAGAAACAACCTAAAACGGGGGAAAAAGAAAGATAAAATAAACACAAAAAACGCAACAAAAATGAGACAAACAACTCCCCCACACTTAAACCTTTGTTCGTCCCGAACAAAAAGAAAATAAAAGAAAAGAAAGGACACAAAACTAAAAACCCGAGCATGGACAACAGTCATTAACAAGATAAGCTTCAAATTGTTCAACTTCAACAACAAGCATTCAAATGGCATATACGAGCACCACACAACTACATGCTTGATCACTATACTTCGATATGGCGTTCTCTCAGTATGGGAATATATATGTGTGCCTCACTCGAATTCTTATACAAATAAAGATAGGTGCACTCAAATTGG